AATCAGGTGTGTGTTGTTCTATAGGCCAGTGTTACATCAGGTAAAAGTTGTTTTATAGGCCAGTGTTACACCAGGTGTGTTGTTCTATAGGCCAGTGTTCCAACAGTTGTATGTTGTTCTATAGGTCAGTGTTCCAACAGGAGTGTGTTCTGTAGGCCAGTGTTCCAACAGATGTGTGTTGTTCTATAGGCCAGTGTTCCTTCTGCTGCAATAGGAACATGCGTGCTTCTCAATGCATTTAGCTTCAGCTAAAAGACCAAGTTTCTCTCCCATTGCTCTCAGTATCTTGTTAGAATGTCATGTGTCCTTCACATTGTTTTCACTATTTCGTCAGTGAACTGTATGTATCTCCTAGTGTCTTGACAAGTCACGTGCCGTCTACGTTGCCCGGGCCATGTCTTCCTCCTAATACCTCGTCAGAGAGCCGTAGAGAGAGGATGGGAGAGCGAGGTGGGAGGGCCTCCCAACTCTTCGAGCACAATGAGCAGGGTGACACTGGGAGAGGGAGCCGGCACTCACACTTCATGGCCACTGTAGCGTGTAGTGGTGGTCATGGCCCGCTGGAGGTCCCGCAGCAGTGCCACCTGCTGCCTCTCACACCTCATGCTCTACCTACATTGTTGCCAGAACAGGTAAAATACAAGTGTATAAATAGCAGTAAGAATTCCACCCTCGAAGCTGTTGTTTCCTTGACAAATCTTTTCATTTTTCATGAGCACAACAAAAGTCAACATGTCATCTAGTCTTTAAAGTTTAAAGTGATCCTGAAACTCTTTATTCTGTGCTAGTAATAATGTCAATAAATTCGCTTAATAATAACCTTAGTCCCAGGAAAATGTTACCCACACGAGTGTTGAACCTCACAGGAAAAAAAAAACTACTCTGTTCATTAAAGTAAATGTACAATAAGTTTACATAAATGAGAATAGGCTGGTGAGATCAACTTGTAAAGAACATTACTCCAAAGCACAATTAATTTGAGCTATTAATCTACCATATTACACTCACAAATCTATTCAACACAAAATTAAATATTTGGCTACTGGGATCACCGAGACACGTGAACCTCTCAGTGATGCCGTAATAATGTGCTTGTTAACTTGAGTCAAGCAAAGGTGTACAGTGCAACCACGTGGTATCGACCTAAACTATGGAAAAGGCTCCATTGTTTTTCATGCTCGATCTAATTGGCCTAAGAATTACAAAATGTTATACAAATATGAGTCAAGAAAATTCACAAAATTCCGTCTTCCTGGTCACAGTTAAGGTTCTTCAGCCACAACTCACACCTCTGCAGTTCAGTTGTTAACAGCAACGCACGCATGCGCGCTCACACGCGCACACACTAGTTAATGTCTGAGGTCCAGCAATATTCCCATCCATTATTTTAACTCCTTGAGCTGAGAACGGAGTGATGTGCATAGCAGCAGAGAGGACACTCGGGGGCCTACATGACAGCGTTAGTGACCACCAGGAAGGTCCTCTGCAGTCTTTACTTCACTACCTGACAGCCAACACACATCTAGATGCTCCATATTTACCTTACCGGCACATAGCTGATCTTCAAAGGCCGTGAGACTGTACGCAGGGAAGTTGTGGATGATGGAGCAGTGTTGTTGTTATGTCTACACCAGCGCCACCGACGGTCAGTCGCCACACTACTCAGGAGTCAGTCATTGACCGATATTCGTTTTTTTTTTCATTTTTTAACTGTGACTCTGATAATTATTCTTATTGACAAGTCCTTTTACATTAAAATATTGTTCCGCAGGGGCCATTATGAAGCGCAAAGTGGTGAAGCAGCTCACAAAACCTGGAAGCTTTGGTAGGACTTCCAAGCTGCGGTGTTCTTGTCAGTGTACTCCAGACAGTCCTGTGGCAGCGGCGTGAGGGAGTTCACGGTGGGGGGAGTCCTGGGACTGAGGGACTGACTAGACCCCAGCGACCCCGCTGAACCCAACGACGAGGTCCCCAAGGAGGACACCAGAGAGGAAGATCCAAGGCTTGAGCCCAACCCAGACCCTGACGAATGAGTGCCCATCTGCTGGCCTCCGCCGCCGCCTCCCATGGTGTTGAGGGAGGCCATGGAACTCACCTGTCAAACACACACAAACATAAACACATACAGTTAGTGTTTCTTTTATATACAGTAAACCCTCTTATAAAGCTCCGCAATAGAATGCGATTTTTTGTTGCAAATGCAACTGAAAAAAGTGAGTTCAAAACTGAACAACACATAATGTGAACGCACGGCCACCTGCTGTTCAGTTTTGAACTTATCAATTCTATTTACAAACAAAGTGTAATATATATATATATATATATATATATATATATATATATATATATATATATATATATATATATATATATATATATATATATATATATATATATAACTGCTAATTTTTGTTCTAACATAACTTGAAATAATATAATTCTAGAGATCAGCATCTGGCTACTTAGGAACATAATGCGACTCTTGTAAGCAGAAAAGTGATAATCTTTGTAGTACACAAGTTTTGGGTTAAATTTGACTATTTAAGAAACCTTCATATCAAATGTGTAGTTTCGAAAGCAGATAGTAATAATATATATTATTATTATTATTATTATTATTATTATTATTATTATTATTATTATTACGTACCGGGACGTTGATCTGTGAGTGTGACATAGGAGTGAGGTAGTCCATGTTAGTGTAGTAGGAAGGTGTTGCGTAGCTCTGATAGCAGGCCGCAGCAGCAGCTGCTTGCTGGCTCACGCCGCAGTAGCCGCCGCGGTCAAGGCACGGCGGGGTCATCAGGTCTCCCATGGGCGCGATGGACGCTGACCCCGCCGAGGGGATGGCGGCCGGCGACCAGATGGGGTTGTAGGATGTAGGGGCGGTGGAGGATGGGGTGAGAGGCAGGGGCGGGGCTGAGCTGACGGAGGGCGGGGGAGAGGGCGGCGAGGTGTCCCTGTGGCCGCCACCTGTGGGTGGCGGGGAAGCGGTGCCGCCCACGCCCGTGGTCTGCGCTGAGGGCTGCGTTGTCTGCGTGGAGGGTGGTGGGGACTTGGCTACCTTCTTGGCTCTAGGGGTCTTCTCTGCTCCTGCCGCCTGCTGTTTCTGCTGCTGCCGGCACTTGGCTCGCCGGTTCTTGAACCAAACCTGTCAATAACATGAACAACCAAAGTCACAATACCGTGGCTAGAACAATTCACAACTAACCCACAATACCGTGGTTGCAACAATTCACAACCCACAATACCGTGGTTGTAACAATTCACAATCCACAATACCGTGGTTGCAACAAGTCACAACTAACCCACAATACCGTGACTACAACAATTCACAATTAACCCACAATCCCGTGACTACAACAATTCACTACCTACAATACCGTGACTGCAATAATTCACAACCTCATTACCGATGGTACAACAGTCCACAACTAACTCTATTCAGGGCAGCATGGATGGAGGGCAGCAATGATGGAGGGCATCAGGGAATGGAAGGCAGCAGGAGTGGAGGTTTCAGGGGTGGAAGGCAACAGGGGTTGGGAGGTATCAGGGGTGGAAGGCAGCAGGGGGCAGAAGGTATTAGGGGTGGAAGGCAAGAGGGAATGGAAGGCAGCAGGAACGGAAGGTAACAGGGGTTGGAAGGTATCAGGTGTGGAAGGCAGCAGGAGGCAGAAGGTATCAGGGGTGGAAGGCAGCAGAGGGTGGATGGAAGCAGGGGGTGGAAGGCAGAAGGTGAGAGGCAGCAAGGGGGGAAGGCAGCGGGGAAAGGAAGGCAGCAAGGAGTGGAAGGTAGCAAGGGGTGGAAGACAACAAAGAAGACAGCAAGGAAGGCAACGGGGAGTGGAAGGCAGCAATGGGTGGAAGGCAGCAGGGAATGGATGATAGCAGGGAGTAGAAGGCAGCAGGAGAAGGCAACTGGGGGTGGAAGGCAGCAGGGAATAGAATGCAGCAGGGGGTGGAAGGCAGCAGGGAGTGGAAGGCAGCAGGGAATGGATGGCAGCAAAGAACGGGTCACCAGGGGCGGACGGTAGCAGGACGTGGAAGGGAGCAAGAAGCAGAAAGCAGCAGAGAATGGAAGGCAGCAGGAAATGGAAAACAGCAGGAAATAGAGGACAGCAGGAAGTGGAAGGCAGCAGGGAATGGAAGGCAACAGGTGGTGGAAGGCAGCAGAGGGTGGAAAAAAACACGGGATGGAAGGAAGCAGGGGGTGGAAAACAGTAGCGGTAGAGGGCAGCAGGGGCGTTAGGCAGTATAGGGGAAGTCAGAAGTAGAAGGCAGCAGGGGGTGGAAGGCATCAGGGAGTGGAAGGCATCAGGGAGTGGAAGGCATCAGGGAGTGGAAGGCATCAGGGAGTGGAAGGCATCAGGGAGTGGAAGGCAGCAGGGAATGGAAGGCAGCATGGAATGTAAGGCAGCTGGGGGTGGAAGTTAGCAGGTGTGTAGGGCAGCGCGTGCGGAAGGCAGCAGAGGTGGAGGTCAGAAGTGGAGGGCAGCAAGGGGTGAATGGCAGCAGAAGGGGTTTTTTAAGGCTGTAGGGGTGGAGGTTAGAAGTGGAGAGCAGCAGGAGGTGGCGGGCAGCAAGGAGTGGCAGGCAGCAGCAGGGCGTGGAAGGCAGCAGCAGGAGAATGGAAGGCAGCAGGAGGAGAATGGAAGGCAGCAGCAGGAGAATGGAAGGCAGCAGCAGGAGAATGGAAGGCAGCAACAGGAGAATGGAAGGCAGCAGCAGGAGAATGGAAGGCAGCAGCAGGAGAATGGAAGGCAGCAGCAGGAGAATGGAAGGCAGCAGCAGGGGAATGGAAGGCAGCACCTGGGGATCCATACATTAAAGCTGCACTCTTGCTGCCTCTTCCTCGCCGCCGGCCGCAGCTATGTTACAACCACGTGTTCCCTGCCTGATGCACGTCAGACGCACGACTGTCGTACACTAAACGTACGTCAAACGTACTTCAGGGGTACACAAGGCATCCCTCCCTTACGAGCGTTAGACATCATTAAGACATCCTTCTCGCGTTTCTTAGACGTACGTCTGATGTCGTAGATGTAGAACAGCCATGTAAGAGATGTCAGGCGTACGTCCGACGTCCAGTCGACGCCTCAGCTCTGAGCTATGTTGCTCCCAGCCTCCCCTACTTCCCGACAACCTTGCTCTAGCGGGTGTGGTCTGGTTTTATGGGGGAAGGAGCACTCTGCTAATGAGACGAAGGGGGTCGTGCTAGGGCCGTGCTGGGGCCGTGCTGACATGACTTGCGGTGGGCGGAGTACGTGACCGCCTCCGTCTACGTCGGCTCTGCCGCCGCCCCCTCTACCACCACTACCTCCAGCTCCTCCTTCGTCTGCTCTCCCTCCTTCCCTCCCTCCAGTCTCCTCCTTTCAGTGGAAAGGGACATGCCGAGAGGCTAAGGGCTCGACAGGGCTAAGGGCGAAGAAAATTAGGGGGAAGAAGAGACCTAAGGGAGGAGAGAGCTAACGGGTAGAGATCTTGGAGGAGAGGGGTTGACTAGGGGTAAGGGAAGAGAATTAGGGGGTGAAGGGGACATTCATGGGAATATGGAACAGGAGGTACGGAGTAGATGGGGAGGGGGTTAGGGGGAGGAGGTTAGAGGGAGGAGGGGAACGGGGAGAGGAGGGGAGTGGGGGAGGAGTTGCTCGGATAAGAATTCGGTCAGTTACAAGATGGTGGCAGTCACACCTGTGCTCTTACCTGTGTGACGCACCCTCAACCTATGTGATGGCTTGAGCTGCCGTCACGGCTGGTGGCAGCTGGCAACACCACCATCACAGCCGGTGGAAGCTAGCAACACTATCGTCACAGCTGGTGGCAGCTGGCAACACTACCATCACAGCTGGTGGCAGCTGGTACCTCTACCTACTTGCGCAAGCTGAGATCGGATATGGACCAGCTGGTCTGTACCTGGCCAAGATTTCTCAAAAAAATAACTTAACTCTCTATGAACCATAATTGTTTTACCTGAGGCAATTCCTTTTACACACAACAACTCATGACCACAGGCTCACCAATCAGCGAAGCTCTGGCGAATCTCTATACGGAATCAGCGGAAACCGGAATGTTCACGAACTTCATACCGAAAACGGTCACATGGCTTAACCATATGGACGATATTCTGTTCATTGTCTCCCTAGAGACTGAACCTCAACAGCATTCATCAGCCTCGACAGTATGGAACCATCCATTCACCCTAGAAGAGGAAGTTGATGAAAGCCTTCCTCACCTCGACATACTTCTCAATAAACAAGACAGTCACTTCGTAAAGAACGAAAAGGCACCACAATACCGTGACTGGAACAATACACAATTAACTCGCACATAGAAAGGAGCTGATGAAGACGTTGTGGTCCGACATGGACCATTGACATGTCACACTAACCTACTGGCTCCCTCATCTTCATGTGTTAGTGTGACTTGTCAGTGGTTGAAGTCAGACCGAAACGTCGCCATAAGGATCTTTCTCTTATGTGCGGGTCAGTTATGTACAGTCACAAAATATATTGAGGACCTACCAACAAGAATATGATACGCTGCCACTCCATGACCAAGGTGCCAAACGAGGGGTACTCATTGGCATATTTCTATGTATCTACAGGTTCAACAGCCCTGAATGTCTGGCGGACGAGTGCAACATTCTGTACTTGGTTAGTAGTTCCTGCCTCCTGCGTTTCCCAATATCATTTCCACCGGCAATGAGACGGATAACAGGATCGTTTCCATTACCTGACATGATATTATCTATCCTGTTATGTCTCCAACACCACCATCAGGGACACAATCTTTGCCTCAGGGACACTCCCTTTGCCTTACTTTATTTAATGATTCTTCCTTTGCTACAACCCACTTCCGATTCATTACTGCTAACAACCTCTTCATTGCTGTTAACCTACGTCCCTACACGATCATCCACCACTTTACTCATTATTATACATATCTAAACGATTTTTCGAGCTTTTTATTTCCTCCCTGAGAGGCAGAACCTCCTCCTCCTTCAACACCTTCAGCTCTGATTCTAAAGCACTGAAGAAGGAAGTCATGGTAACACCATACGTTCCTCACTAATTCCCCATGTACAGCTGCAGGCAGGTAGCTTGACCACTGACCACTGACCTCAGGAATTTTTTGTAGGAAAATTTTCAAATGCACGGGATCAATTTCTTCGCCCTTCTCTACATGTTTTCCAGCGCGCCTTAATGTCCATTCCGTAATATGGAGACCAGAATAGTGAAGCATAATCTATGTGACGTACAAAGGGTATATATATTATTTATACTTTTTGATTTGAAGCCAATAATTCTATTAGCTTCACTGCAAACATTAATGCATCGTTGTCTGGTTTTAGATTACTGTCAACCAGAACTCCTAATTCTTTTACGCATTTGGAATGTTTGAGATCTATATTAGTTTATAAGTTTTGTGGTTCTCTTCTCCCAGACCTAGAACCTCACATTTATTTACATCTGCCACTGCCACTTCCACCATTTCATCCAACTACTCAGATCTTCCTCGAGCGCACTAGAGTCCTCATCAGAATTTATCTGACGGCCTATTTTAGTGTCTTTGGCAAACTTGCTTATGCCATTATTTATTTCTTATGTCATTTATATATACTGTGAACAAATAGGGCCCAACACTGATCTCTGTGGAGCACCACTTGTGATGCGTCCCTGCTCTGATTTCTCCCCATTTATGCAAACTCTCTGTTGCATATAGCTTAACCATGCCTCGATCCAGTAAAAAAAATTTCCCTTCCTATTTTATGTGCCTTTATTTCCTTTAATAATGTGTGTTGAACTCGATTAAAGGCCTTACTGTTAGTAAAATCGTAACGAACAATTACGTTTTCTAAACGTCTCCCTAGGTATCTTGATAATTTTTTCTGCTGTCACTCCTCGTGCTGTAATCTATATGTTTCCCACACACACCCATAATTCTATTTTCTATCAATTTAGTCCTAGACACCTCAGCAATGACCCCCACGATAGAGTTGGCTAACACTACCACCTCTGCCCTAGAGAGATGTATCCCATCTCCTGCATACATACAGTGTTCACCAATGAAATTATCCCATTTGCCATTGAATAGGATTTCAAGCTCTTTGCAGTACTTGTCTAGGCAGCAATTTACACCACTTTCCCTAGA